TGTTCGAATCCGAGGCGGGTCATCGGCATCCTGTAACTTTTGTTATTTTGGGCTCCTCAGGCCTGAATATGGAGGAAGTATCAGGCGGGAGCCTCGTCTGTGAGTGAATTGTGAGGACGTCTCAGGCGGGAGCCCCTCCCTAATGTGACCGCGCTTTACGTTCGAATCCGAGGCGGGTCATCGGCATCCTGTAACTTTCGTCATTCCCTACATGTTTCGTGGGGTTCTGGTTTTCTTCTCTGCCGCGTCGCACCCGCGTCTCCTCACACACTCACACCTCCCCTCCCCCCACACACACACAGCACAGCACAGCTCAGCACAGCTCAGCACAGCTCAGCTCAGCACAGCACAGCTCAGCACGGCACAGCACAGCTCACCGCAGCACAGCACAGCACAGCACGGCAGAGCACAGCACAGCACAACACAGCACACAGCACACAGCACAGCTCAGCTCAGCTCAGCTCAGCACAGCCGGGGTCGGAGAGCGTGGCAGGGGTGGCATTTTCCTGACACCAGAGAGGGTGCGCAGGGGGTGGTCCCTCAGCGCGGTCTCTATGCGCGCCAGGGTCGGAGAGCGTGGCAGGGGTGGCACTTTCTCGACACCAGAGAGGGTGCACAGGGGGTGGTCCCTCAGCGCGGTCTCTATGCGCGCCAGGGTCGGAGAGCGTGGCAGGGGTGGCACTTTCTCGACACCAGAGAGGGTGCGCAGGGGGTGGTCTCTCATGCGCGCCAGGGTCGGAGAGCGTGGCAGGGGTGGCACTTTCTCGACACCAGAGAGGGTGCACAGGGGGTGGTCCCTCAGCGCGGTCTCTATGCGCGCCAGGGTCGGAGAGCGTGGCAGGGGTGGCACTTCTCGACACCAGAGAGGGTGCGCAGGGGGTGGTCCCTCAGCGCGGTCTCTATGCGTGCCAGGGTCGGAGAGCGTGGCAGGGGTGGCACTTTCCGACACCAGAGAGGGTGCACAGGGGGTGGTCCCTCAGCGCGGTCTCTATGCGCGCCAGGGTCGGAGCGCAGGGGCAGGGGTGGCACTTTCTCGACACCAGAGAGGGTGCGCAGGGGGTGCGTCCTCTATGCGCGCCAGCGGTGTCTCTATGTGGTTCAGAGCGTGGCAGGTCGACACTTTGCAGGGGGTGGCAGAGTGCGCAGCCCTCTGCGTGCCAGAGGAGAGTGCGCAGGGGGTGGTCATGCGTGCCAGGGTCGGAGAGCGTGGCAGGGGTGGCACTTTCTCGACACCAGAGAGGGTGCGCAGGGGGTGGTCCCTCAGCGCGGTTACTATGCGTGCCAGGGTCGCAGAACGTGGCAGGAGTGGCACTTTCTCGACACCACAGGGGGTGCGCTGAGGGTGGTCCCTCAGCGCGGCCTCTATCCGTGACACGCTCGCAGATCGTGGCAAGAGTGGCACTTTCTCGACACCACAGGGGGTGCGCAGACGGTGGCATCCGTGAGACGCTCGCAGATCGTGGCAGGAGTGGCACTTTCTCGACACCACAAGGGGTGCGCAAAGGGTGGTTGGTCCCTCAGCGCGGCCTCTATCCGTGACACGCTCGCAGATCGTGGCAGGAGTGGCACTTTCTCGACACCACAGGGGGTGCGCAGAGGGTGGTCCCTCAGTGCGGCCGCTATGCACGACGGTCGTCCAGGCTATAGCAGGCGTGGCACTTTCGCGACGTCATAGGGGGTGCGCAGGGGGTGGTCCCTCAGCGCGGCCGCTATGCACGACGGTCGTCCAGGGCATAGCAGGCGCGGCATTTTCTCGACACCATAGAGGCTGCGCAGGGGGTGGTCCCTCACCGCGGCCGCTATGCACGACGGTCGTCCAGGGCATAGTAGGCGTGGCACTTTCTCGACACCATAGAGGGTGCGCAGGGGATGGTCCCTCACCGCGGCCGCTGGCTGGCTCGAATCTGTCCTCGATGGAGGATAGAAGGCTAGGAAGAGGGAGGCTCAAGCAATGTGGCGTTGGATGACACACAGGGGAACATTTGCGACGAGGGCTGAGAACGCAGAATTGCGCATATATTATAAACTTTAGCAAGCACATAAGATTTAAAATAAGTATGTGGGGTTCCTCGGTAGCGTATTTTTTGGGCTCCTCAGGCTTGACTATGGAGGAAGTATCAGGCGGGAGCCTCGTCTTGTGAGTGAATTCTGAGGAAGTCTCAGGCGGGCGCTCCCTCCCTAAGGAGCCCGCGCTTCATGTTCGAATCCGAGGCGGGTCATCTGCATCCTGTATCTTTCATCACTTTCGGACTTCTCAGGCCTGACTATGGAGGAAGTATCAGGCGGAGCCGCGTCTGTGAGTGAATTGCGAGGAAGTCTCAGGCGGGAGCCTGGCCGCGCTTCATGTTCGAATCCGAGGCGGGTCATCGGCATCTTGTGACTTATTTCAATTTTGGGCTCCTCAGGCTTGAATTTGGAGGAAGTATGAGGCGGGAGCCTCGTCTGTGAGTGAATTGCGAGGAAGTCTCAGGCGGGAGCTCCCTCCGTAAGGGGACCGCGC